TTCGCTCACCTCCCGATCTACTGAGCCGACCTGTGACAGTCTCATTGTCACAGGTCGGCTAGAACTATGAGGTAAGTGAAAAGCACTCACCTCATAGTTCTCCTTTAAAGAGTGTTAGCTGAAGTTGAGATTTAATTTGGTAGTCAAGTCCAACTAAATCTGCCAGTGAATTCAACACTACCATCTGCTACTGTCTAAGGGTGGCTCCATTGTTCCTCTATAGAAGAGGAGTGGAGCCACTCTAAGACAGGAACGAAAGCAGCCACCGCATTTAAGAACTGTAAGCTGCAATATGATACCTTTTTGGTTTTGGGATTAGATATGCTATAGGAGGCTGACTCAAAGTCAAGCAGGTACTTACACTAGTTGCATTTAGTAAAACACATTTATTTATTTTTAATAATTATTAGAATTTGATTGATCAATTTATTTAAGTTTGTATGCTTTGCTGGTTCCTAACTGCGCTGCATTTTCACCTTGGACTGAAGAGTTTTTATTACAAATTGCCACTCTGCAATGTATAACTTTGGTCACATATGAACAAAGACGCGGGGTATTGCTAATGCTGAGCATTACCTCGGGTTTGCATTTTACTCACCAATCTGTCCTGTCTGAACAAGGAATATGCCTGTAAGAGATCCTGTCATAAATGAAAAATTTGGACTTTTCCTGTATCCTGGATCATATCTGCACAAATGGTATTTTGTGAACACTGATTGCTAAAAGATCTGTACAAACTAACAAGACTGCAACCATTATGAAATATTAGCATAAGTGCTGCTGTAAATTTGTACAGTGATAAAACCAAAGCTGCATGAATATAGGACAGTGCAGTTTTCAATGGTCTCGGAGATATATATATATATATGTATAAATATATATAGTATAATCATTGTGCTTATCACCACGAATGAACTTAGAAACAGTTAATGAGCTATGTTAATGTATATGATAGCAAGGAATGGACCTGTTCAATACATTTATTTGGGGCTAATGTAACTGGGAATCAATTATATAAATGTAATATTGCCAAAGTCAACCAATTTTTAAGTTGTTACCCAGCAGTTTCTTGGCAGCTTTCCAGCCCCCTAAATGCTAAGGCCTTATGCATACGGCCACAATGAAATATTGATCATCTATGCAGGATCTTTCTAGCAGATGTTTGCAGAAAGATTCTGTGTTAAAAAAAAAACACATGGATTGGTACATATCATATAGATGCATCAAATTCCATACAGCATATAGAAGCCTAAAATTCTACTTCCATTGCATTGCATTCAATTTACGTACATACGCACATAGGAATGCACGCACCTTTACACATATATGTACACTCATAAATTACTGACCTCATTTTCAGATTTTTCTATTTTGATTTTACAGATCTCAAAGCAGTGCACGTTTTGATGCATAGGCCCATAGAAAGACAATAGAACTGCGTTCAGTTCCATGAAAATGAAAAATAAAAATGCAGTGCTGATAAAAACACTGCATTTGGCCATGTGCATAAGCCCTTATGTGCACAGAGCACGTTTTCTGGGAGTGAGGATTAGTTGAACTGCGGAGGGAAGTACTCAGTGTGTCTGCAGTAAATTTTAGGGATGAATTGCTTCACAGTGCCTTTAGCTACAGAGTCAGTGAGGGCTTGTTTTACAGCTCACTTACTGTTTGATAAGAATATATAAATATGTAAATGTCTGTAGCCTGGCCCCAGATTCACTTTAAAGAGGAAATTTACTACAACCCCATGAACAAAAAACATACTTACATGACCAGTGATCCAGCAGTGCTCTGTAGGGCTCCATTGCTGCACACCTATTCCCACACATCATCTCCTTCTATGAATTGGGGGGCCAACTGTCTTTTCGGGATTATTGAAGCCAGCCTCCTAATAACGCGCATGAACTGTGGTGCAGGATCAGGGTCCAGCTGCAAGAACCACAAAGAGACAGCTGGCCCCTGATGACAGACCATGGCACATGTGCTGTAGAACTCTTGGCATGCATGATGTGGGTATCCCAGGAAGTTGCAGGCAGCTATTGCATCATTCTCACCTCAGGGAGGGAGCACTGAATAAGGTATTTAAAATAACTGTTTGTAATAGAGGAAAAGGGCAAGAGTGAAATGACAGAAAGTTGGTGGGGAGTGGGGGTTCCCCTTTACTTTCAAATTAAATCCCCTGCTTTTCAATAATTATTAGTGTGTAAATTGGAATTCTCTTGGGACCTTTCAGTCACGCTTAAAATTGTTACAATGTGCATTAGCCCACATACAATTATTATTATATAGTATTTATATAGCGCCAACAGTTTGCGCAGCGCTTTACAATATAAGGAAGACATTACAGTTACAATACAATTCAAGACAAGATGTTAAGGAGGGCCCTGCCCATGAGGGCTTACAATCTGAAAGAGGAGGGGGAAATGATACATGAGGAGGTAGCTGTGGGAATGAATTATTTGAGAATGTGGAGCTTCAGTGGTTAGGTCGAGGTGGGATAGGCTTCCCTGAAGAGATAAGTCTTTAGAGAACGCCTAAAGGCAGTCAAGGTGGGAGATAGACGGACAGGTTGGGGTAAAGAGTTCCAGAGGATGGAGGCGAGTATGGGAGGAGTGGACAAGGGAGCTGGAAAGCAGGAGGTCAATGGATGAGCGGAGGGGAGGGTTGGGGTGATACTAGAGACAAGGTCTGAGATATATCCGGGGGCGGAGTTGTGGATGGCTTTATAGGTGACTGTTAATATTTTGAATTTTATCCTCTGGGCAAGTGGAAGCCAGTGTAGGGATTGGCAGAGGGGGGATGCAGACACTGAGCGGTTGGTAAGGTGAATGAGTCTGGCAGCTGCATTCATGGTAGACTGAAGGGGGGATATCCTGTGTAGTGGAAGGCCAATGAGGAGGGAGTTACAATAGTCAAGACCAGAGATAACAAGGGAGTGTATGAGTAGTTTTGCGGTGTCATTGGTGAGGAAGGGGCGTATTTTTGAGATGTTACGAAGGTGAAGGTGGCAGGATTTGGATAGCGATTGGATGTGGGGAAGAAAGGTGAGGTCCGAGTCAAGGATGACACCTAGGACCTTGGCATGAGGGGAGGTTTGGATAGTTGTGTTATCAATCACAACTGAAATGTTGGGGGAAGGTTTTTGAAAGTTTTTGAAAGATTGAGCTATAAGAAATGTTGTGACATCCAGACGGATATGTCAGTTAGTAGATTAGTGACACGAGAGGACACTGGAGGGGGAGAGTTGTGGAGTGGAAAGCAAAATTTGAGTGTCATCGGCATAGAGATGGTATTGGAAGCCATGTGAGGTTATTAGTTGACCAAGGGAGGAGGTGTAGATGGAGAAGAGGAGGGGTCCAAGGACAGAGCCTTGGGGGACCCCTACAGAAAGGAGGGGAGGAGTTAGAATTGTAGGTGACACTGAAGGGGCGTGTAGATAAGTAGGATGAGAACCCTGAGAGAGCAGAGTCTTGTAGGCCAAGCGACTGGAGTTTTTTGAGCAGCAGCGGGTGGTCAACAGTGTCAAAAGCAGCAATACAGCCATATATACAGCCATATAGCCAATACAGCCATATAGAGCCATATAGCCATATATAGCCAATACAGCCATATATGTATTTTCTGTATTTTCAAGAAGTAGACCAAGAACTATCAGTGGACAAAACCATGTCTATAACACCAGATAGCTAGATTATAAGACCAAATACTCTGGCAACAATCTCATTCACCTACCTTTCCAGTAGCTGCAGGCCATATAGCAAGGCACCATGAAACAAAGTATCGTTCTCTCTTTTCATCTGTGTAGTCAGTCATTCAACCAAGCAGCATCTGCAAGGTTACAATATTATTGCTAATCTGTAGACATTGAGTGCTGAATAAACAGTCACAATTGACACTCAAACAAGCCAGAAAAAGTACACTATGTTAAAGCTTTTTATTGCTAAGTGCTCCCCAATACAACAAACAGCATCAGTAGTGTACACTTAAAAAAGGTCACAAAATGAGCTCTGTAAGAAATATATGGTAAAAGCGACATACAGCACAATGAATATCTACATCCAGACAATAATAGAATATGAAGAAAAAAACATTTTGTAATACTTTTTTTGTCTTGGCAGTCATAAACCTAATTGTCTGTCTGTGGTCAGGGGTTGTCTGAATACTAATCTAGGCTATAGTTCTGACCTTTTAAAGCTTTACAGTGGTGTCACATAAAGCCTTTGAAGGTGTCAAGTCAATACTTTAGGGTTAGCTTATGCACAATACATTACATGGAATAATCCACAATTTAGTTCTAAAGGTCTAGTTACAGTTATGTTTCACATTGACTTTGTTGCGTTGCATTATTTCATCTTTAATCTTTTACACTGGATTTCTAAACCTAATTATACACATCATTGATGTATAACGTTTTTTGGCTTATCATGGACAATTCTTTCAAGAGAAATTGTTTGTCAAATTTAAAACGAATTATGTTTAAGGTGAAATTAATTAATCAAATTATTGGTTTTAAGCGCCATATTTTATGCAGTAGTTCTGGTTTAGCTTATAACCTATGTTTGCAAAGGACTGTCGTGCAAATTGCTTACCTGCTTTTTAATAGACAGGTAAAAAAAAAAACTATGCAAATGCTACCATTGTAAATATTCAGTAAATAAAATCTATCAAGAAAATCACCTTTTAATAAATATCTTCACTTTTATATTCTATATACAAGTACTTTACAGCTACATGAGAGAGCAAGATTGGTGAAATTGATGAAAAGATGATCTTGGAGACCATGTTGTAAGTATATTATTGCAGTCAGAAGCATTGTGGTTGTGAAAAGTGAGGTGAGTTTTGTAAAAAAAAAAATATATATCTCTCTTCGGTCTATGATTGGAATTTGGATTATTGAGTCCTATTATGGTAAAATGTGCAAAGACTAAATGTTGGTTACTTGTTTCTTTCTCAGAGCTCAAGACTCCGATCCATAGAAAAAAAGGTAATTATGTCATTTCTTTAGTAATACTAGTCTACTTTTCTTTACTTCCTCTGAATATAGAGGTTGTCCATTTCAGTTCCTCCTATATTAATAACTATTGTTGTAACTGCATCTTCCAAATAGAAGATGGAATATTTTCTCTTCAGTAGATTAGAGTCTACTAAATATCTCTCAACCTTCCCAATATGCATCTTCCAAATAGAAAGTGGAATATTTTCTTCTCGGTAGATTAGAGTCTACTAAATATCTCTCAACCATCCCTATTTTGGTGGGACAGTTCTGATTCTTGGATCGCAACGAGGAAGCACTGACTGAGAAATTATGTAGATTTTTGTAAAACATAAATGTAGTTTGGTGCCTATAGGCATTGTCTGGATGAATAAAATTGTAGTCTTGCATTTATGGCATGATTTTCAAATGTTGGAACATGTGCCTACTAACTTCCATTAACTAATGAGTGTATTTTCCTTCCATTCCATCTTCTTTTTTCCAGTATAATATAACCAATACCTAAGTGCTGATAGGAATAACAAATGTACAGTAATAGTAAGCAAAGTGGTTTTAAAAGACATGTTGTGTCTTATCAATTACATGTTCGTGAAGGGTTTATAAATGAAAGTTACAGCACCCTTCTAGATGATGAGGAATGCTTTAGTCAAATTAACATGCCATATAGAACCATTGCATTAGGATTCATGGAAGATTCACCTCGTGGAATGTAAGGCAGATTGTACTGACAGGCAAATAGCACCGGAAAAATAACACAGAACCAGTAAACAATACATGATCAGAAAAAAATGTCAAATAATACTGACTTTGCAACATTCAAACATCTGCACAACAGCTGAGTAAATTGCTCTTTGGGGGGGGGGAGAAGTGTCACCTGGCTTCAAGGGAAAAGAACACTATACCGATTTATGGTTATGGGCCAGTGAATGAACCCATCAATGGCCAGGAATATTCAACGGATCATGAATGGGAAACTTTGTTTTTCCTACAATAATTTCAAGTTACAATTGAAAGCAAAAAACAGTTGTAAATGGACGAATGAGTAAGTGAACCAGCACTTTGCACTTTTTTTAAAGCAGAAAGCACCAATGTGTCCTTTTGCTCCAGTCCTTACACATTTAAGCTCATCTTTCTATCGAGGACAACTGTGAAGAACGTCTCCTCTCTTGAGGCTTATCATTTCTCTTCAGGCTTTTTACTGAAGAAAGAGCACCTGATTTATGTGCATAGATGTTGCTGCTGTGAGTTTCTGCAGATGGAGGAACAGCAACAAGCTTTAAAGTCTTGCTCGCTGCTAGATGGGATCTTCTTAATGCTGAATCTGATGCCTTTGCTCGATTCTCTGTTGGAGACACTAGGCCAAGATCTGAATTGTTTTCTATGGAGGAAAGAATGGTCAAAAGGCTTCTAGCTTCAGATACAGTTTCTTCATTGTCAGATGATAAAGATATGGGCATCATTCCGGCTCTTGATGTGCTGGGATCAAAAGAAAGTTCATCTTCAGTTTCTGCTGCCTCAGTGAGGAATGGGGGTGACTGAGTGCTGCGTTTGCTGCAGGATTCACAGCAGAGCTTGTTGTAGCCAGGTATTGAACAGTATCGTGCAAGCACCTCCATTTGGCAGAATATGGATTTATCTCCTAAGCATGGTTCATCTGAAAATGAACAGAAGCATAAATGATAGCAGTTATCGTGAAACTGTAACCTGAATAAGTACAAAAAACAAACCTGTTATGTGGGTAAATAGATTGAAGCAGAGGCAAAATACTTACAAAGCAACATTAGCAGTTAACTAAGGCCCTGTGGGTTTGAAGGGGGGAAGGAGTTACACAATTACCTTTGATTCCTTGGTAGAGTTGGTTGCATTTAGTAACCCAGAATGCAATGTATCACAAAGTCCTTTTTCTGCAGTTGAAATTGAGCTGTGACATGCATTCAGTTGTCACATTCACTCATTCAAGATGTGCTAACACCGTCATGTGCATTTTGAGAGCATCAGGACTTTGTTTTTTTCTGCAAGTGATAAGATAACTATCTGAACTGTGGGAGAGGTACTCTGTGATATATTTGGGTTGAATCAGAGCACAAAGCTAAGAAGGCTCTTAGTGACAGACAGGGAGAGAAGATGAATGGATAATAGTAAGAAGTCATACAGAACATCACAGGGAAAAGTACCTATTACAGCACAATAGTAACTAGGTACTGTAACTAGCAGAGATAAGAGCAATTATGTCCTTTAAACATTCCTAAATATTCAATGATTTCACAACTAAACAGTATTTTGATAGTGAGCTTTTTTTGCTAACATAGTAAAGAAGATTTCCATGTTTAGGAATTCACATTTCAGTTTTGGTGCAGAAGTGTGTTCCGTTGTGGGCACCAAAATTCTTGCATGCTGCAGTCTGGGTGTGCTTTGCATTGGGTGCAAAGATAGTCATCTTCTAGGCAATGATTCTTATTGACCCATAGTTTTCCAATCTAATGTCTAAGTGAAGTGTAAAATTGAACTTTGCTACCAAGACTGAACTTTCCTGCCTAGCTTATAATTACAAGAGGGAACATGGCAAGTGCGCATGACAAAATAAATCAAAAAAGTTGCCTTGTAGACAAGAGATCCTTCAGTACTTGTAAACTGATCTCAACTTACATTGGGTGCAGTTCAGTACTGTGATTGCAGCTTTGCCAGGTGTAATTTACTATTGGAATCACAAGTCCTCAGCAATGTTTTTTGTTCAAGTCAGTATTCCTGTTCATTAATTCCCTCCATTTATATAACACAAACATAGTATGCAGTGCTTTATGGAGTACATTTTATTTATATTGGCATATATATACAATTGTTTATGCAGTGTTTTACATGCACATTTACAAGCCCTCAAGGAGCTTATAATCTAAGGTCCCTATCTCACATTCAAGCACAGGGAGAACATGCAAACTCCTTGCAGATTGTGTCCTTGACCAGGGACCCTCAGTGCTGCAAGGCAGAAGTAGTAACCACTATGCCACGGTGACACCATTCACATTAGTACCGTCCCTTATACAGTCAGTGGGAGAACTACCAGGGGTGCAGCATTTGCAGCTGTGACTGGGCCTTGGTACTACATCACTGTCCTAAAATCATTAGTATGTATTGTTTTAGAAAAACTGTCACATGACACTGAAAAAAAGTATCGCTAATGGTATTGGCGAGTACTTGAGGAAAAGTATCGATACTTGTTCTCGTCTCAAAAAAAATGGTATCGGTGCATCCCTAGTAAATTTCTATAAATCTTTATTAAAAAAATGTTGAAGCAAACCAGCAGGAGTCAGTAACCAGTGGGCATTATTAATGTCTGCTATCCTGGAACCAACCAGATTATATGTCAGGTAAATTAGTAAGAGCAAATGGAACAAAAAAAAAATATGGTTCAGTACAGAATCAAGTAGGATAGCGCAGAAGAAAAACCAGCATATAGGAGATACAAGGAAGCAGGATATTCAGCTGACAGGTAAGTGTATAAAACCAGATCTTTTCAGGTATATCAGTGACATGAGCAAAATATACTATGTGTTGGAGAAACATATTGGTTCTAGCGGTGAAGGTTGATTTTTCAGGATTTCTAGAGACAGAGGTAGCAGTGAACAGGCTCACTTAAAGCTTAATAAAGCAATAACTGATGGTATTCATCCTAAAGTTCCAGGAAAACTTTATGGTATAGTTCTTGGATCGATAACTGATCTTTTTAATCAATTACTTCTAACAGAAGAAGTTCTCCATGACTGGCAGAAAGTACATTCTGTAACTATCCACAAGAAGGGTAGTAAGGAAGGAGCTGGCAACTACAGGTAAATTAGTTTAACATACTTTGTAGTAAAATAAATGGATAAAATAACAATAAATAAAAATAAAATAAATCAATGAAGGATCAATGACCATTTAAAAACACACATGTTGCTGGGCCCAAAGCAACATGGCTTTACTGAGGGTAGATCATGTTAAACTGATCTGACTGCATTTTTTTGACCATATCACAAATGTTTTGAACCAGGGTGACACTGCGGGCATAGCCTTACCTAATTTCAGCAAAACATTTGATAGAGTTACATATAATGATCCCATAAATGTATACGTTGTATAAGCTTTGACTGTTCCAGTAGCTCAGTGCATGCACAGTTGGCTAAAGGATAGTTATCAGAGTGTAGCTGTAAATGGGGTTCATTTGGAACAGTGACAAGTCTCTAGTGGTATACCACAAGGCTCTGTTCTATTCCTGTTCTATTTAATATGATTGTAAGTGATATAACAAAAGGTTTGGTGAGCAAAGTAGTCTTTTTGCTGATGACACAAAGGTGTGCAATAGGGTTGATATTCCTGTTGGAGTTTGTAACATGGAACATGATTTGGCATTTATGGAGGATTGGTCAAAGCAGTGGAACCTGCAGTTAAACGTTTATAAAAGAAAATAATGCACTTAGGGAACATAATCCTCTAATATAGTACATTATTGGAGTTACCATGTTGGCCAAACTGCAGAGGAAAATTATTTGGGGGTGCTTAGATCAGATGGTTGAACATTAAAATAAGTACTGTGGCCTGGCAGTGGGGAAAGTGAGTAAAATTCTAGGGTGCCTCTCTAGAGTGATCACCAGCAGGGGAAAGGAGATCTTAAGTTACTGTATATATCATTTAGTATACTGGGTCCAGTTCTGAAGAACTTTCTTAGAAAAAGATATTGCCAGGATAAAAAGGATGGGCAACAAAAAATGGTGAACGGTCTGGGGAATTAAACATATCAGGAGAGACTACAGAAAGCTATTATGTACAGTCAAAAGAAAGAATGGAAAGAGGAGACATGATTGAAACTTTAAAATACATTAAGTGTATGAATAATTTTCAGGAGGGCAGCATTTTCTATAAAAAGCTAATATCAAGAACACAGGAATACAATCTAAACTAGCAGGAGGAAAGTTCAAAACTAACCTTCAAAAAGTATTTTTACAGAAAGAGTAGTTGATGCTTGGTATAGACTTTCAGCAGAAGTAGTGAGCCAGTCAACAGAAACTGAATTTAAACATACTTGGGACAAACATAGATCTATACAGAGGCAAAAAGGATTAAAACATAGGAAATTAAAAAAGGGACAGATTTGATGGTGGTCTTTCTTCTGTTACTTTATGTTTCTAAGGGGTATACATGGCTCCTTAGAGCAATAGGAACCAGAGGACACATTTCTAGAAAGTTATTTTTAAAAAGGTGTAAGTGTGGTATACACTCTTCGGTCCTTTGATGTACTTGCATTATCTGGCAAATTACTGTACTATTTCCTTATGTATGTCATTACCTGTATGCATGTATGTATGTACCAATATGTGGCTTGTTACATTGTGGATATGTTCTTGAACTGCACTTGAATTGGAAGCAATTTTAGACAGGCTATAAAAAGGTGAGAATTAGTACAAGCTCTCTTTCTGTACCACTGTTTCTATACTAATTATTTCTAATTGGATACATTCAGTCCATGTAAAGACTTCCTTTAATCAGATATAGGTTGCTATCTGTCTACATTAGAGATCATTATTTGCCTGTAGCATCTAATGTTACACTAAAAGGTAATTTTGTATAAATGTAGCAATGCAATGCACCCACTTAAATTATTTGCTCATATTCAAAAATGAAGAAAATAGAGTTTCCTGAATCAAATTTAATATTAGTAATAGCATGAACATGGATCTAACTTAAACCTAAATATAGGCATTTAAAAAAAAAAACTAAACTAGCTCTCACAAATTCTAAAAGAGAAAAATATATTGTTTTAAACTTGATACTAGGTAGTGAAAGCAGAATTGTAAGTGGCATTTTGTTTGTGAAATCCATATTAATTATGCAGATTTCTGTAAGATTAGCCTATAAAAAGGAATACTCTTTTTTTATATAAACCAAACAAAACAAAGTCAACATTATCCAATAAACTCCAAGATAAACCACTAAACTTAACTAAAAGTGTTATGTTAGTTGAACAAATAATCAGCTATTGATGGGAAATGTATGTGGGTAACTGGAGTTAAAGAGGAACTTCACCCTTATCTTTAAAATGACAACAAAGGCCCGTTTAGAAATGTTTAGTAAATGTTTAGTAATGACAATCTACAAACAGATACTTCTAGATAATTGCATGCTTTGTATTCTTTCCTTCTCCTCCCCATTCTTCGCATAGTCACCATTTTTACTAAGGGCAGGTTACTAGATCTCCCTTTACTTCCTGGAACTTTGGCACATGTGACTTGGACAATTGATCATGCACATCATCTCAGGGGAGGAAAATGCCTTTCCCTGAGATCTCGGGAGATTACAGATGAGATTTTCCAGCAATGCTCTGCTGATGGAACCTTCCCAGGATGCAACACTTGGGCACATTACATAATTTGTGTCAAACTGGACCAGGAAGTGGATGAGCTCTATTTGTAAGTAAATAAAAAATATGTTTGTTTAGCTAATAAACGTAAGATGAGCTGCATGCGGATGTGATGTTTAGTAAAAGGGGATAAAGGTCCACTTTAAGTACTATAATTTAAAGTGCATTTCCACTTTTGCGGCCATATTGAGAAAACACATTTTGTGTTTGTTACATGTTCCCATTCACATACCATAGCTTAAAAATAATTAAATTGCTGCTTG